TAGAGTATGGAATAGTCTTCCTGCTAGTGTAGCGGAAGCTAAAACCCTGGGTTGCTTTAAATCAGAGCTAGATAAGATTAACAAACGAGCTTGATGGGCTGAATGGCCTCCTCTCGTTTGTAAATTTCTTATGTTCTTATGAGAGTATGTATATTATTGGATAATGATTTTGTTTACATAATATTGGTTATTATAGCTATAATAATAATAATAAACAGCTCTGGAAAAGAAACCACTACATTTTTTAAAAATCTGCATTTTAAAATCCTTGTTTAATCCCGGTTCTGCCGGCAGAAGGCCATGCTGCAAGGCAGGCTGCTTCCAGGCTCAAAATTTTGAAAACAGCAGTACACAAGAATAATGCGAAGTAGGAGACACTGGGAACGACTAAACACCAGCCAGGTAAAGGGCGGGAAGAGGGATCGATAGATATAACATTAGATACATGTAAATATTCAATGGCTAATATGGGCAATTAAGTCACACTACGCAGCGCAGGGGACGAAGAGAAGTAGAAAGGGTGACGTTTAGGCAGAGGCTGGGTGGCAGGGGGATTGTGGGTAGATGTGCGGCCACTCCTCACCGTATCCAGAGTACTGGCTGTTGGAGGCTCGGCGACCGCGGCCCCTTCCACCGTAGGTCCGCGCGCCATGGACAGAACTGGTGCTCTCATCCGTCAGGTAGCCCCGCTCACGTTCTCCAGCCACCGGCCCCCCCGAGCGGCCAGCGGGGGCACGGTAACCCACCCCGATCTGCCGTAGTTGCTCATCAATCTGCAAACGCTCCAGCCGAAGCTGCTCCACCTCCTGCGAATGGCACCAGTGGCACGCCTGTCAGTGCCTGCCCTACGCTCTGTCTGCCAATCACATCACTGGGACGAGAGCTACCGGCCTCAAGGGACCAATCAGGAGCAGTCACTGAATGCACACACCCACCCACTCCTCCCGCACCATGGGCACAGGAAATCCAGACCAAATTTCAGAGAAAGACACACAGACATACACACACACAGACACCATTGTGAAGCCCAAACTGAATCACACACTTGCACTCTTGTCTTCTCAGAGCCCTAATCCCTGCCCCCCATACCAGCACCACCAAACATGTATGTAGATGACAGTATTCAATTTTCCCTGAGGGGGAAAGGGACGTGTTGCCTCTTGAAGCTTGGGGGGGCGGGGAGGGGTGATGTGTTTAACGTGAAGAGCAGGTGGGGTCAGGGTTTAGCTAAGGCTAAGGCTGAAGTGCACAGCCAGCAGTAACCTTCACGGGCTTATGGTCAGCTGGGGGGGGGGGGGGTCACATAAGAGAGCAACAGCTGCTCCTGCACAACAGCTGAGGGACAGCATGGGGCTCATGGCTATTTCGGGAGGATGAGGCCCAGGGCACGGTAACTCACACCTCACTGCTGCTCAGCCCCCCACTAACCAAGTATGGGGGGCTTGGAGGCTATTTTTAAAAAGTGCACTGGGTAAGGGTAAAATGCGTTCCTCTCAGCAGCTTCCATGGGGGGGGGGGGCACTGCATGTTATCCCCAGGCCCTGTCTCACCTCCTAGCATGGAGCTGGACAGACGGGACACACAGCCTGTGCCTCACAGCCTGTGCCTCACATGGTGGCCCTTCCCACCCCCATCAAACACATGAGAAAATCAGAAAGAGGTCAGAAAGACGCTTAGGAGAGGACTGGCAAAGGGCGGGCAGCGCGGAGCAAGGGCAGACCCACCTGCAGGTATGCTACGTGGTACTCCAGCAGGGCCTGGGCGTTGCTGATGTTCTCCTTAGTGCCCACAAACACAAAGGGGACCATGCCCTAGGAAAGAAGGTCGAGCAGAGGGTCAGTCAGGAGGGGCGGGACGCTGAGTGAAGGGGGAAGCTGACAAGTTCACAGAGCAATCAATGTGCAAAGCGAACACAGCACATGGCCTACATAACAAACCACCACCATGGGGCCAACAAGGTCAGACGGGAAAGAGCCAGCGTGTCAAAAGCAACCCATGAAGGAAAATGACAATCACAAAGCATCGTGGAAAGGAGCACAGAAGCATGGAGACGCTGGGGAAAGACCTGCCCTACAGCAAGTAGCCCCCCCCCCCCCGCCCCGCTCCCTGAGCTGATGGGAGATGGGCCCTCAGGCATGCAGCCACCAGCCCACCCCCCCACCGGGGGTCTGAACCGGCGCCGCAGCCCTGGAGCGTGAGAGTGAGGTCGGCGGGAGTTGCATTCACCTCTTCTCCGGTTGGCTGCCTGCCGACCTCCTCCCTGGGCAGCTTCTTGTCATTGTCCCCCTCGATGCGAACACGTACCACGCCTGACTTGTCCACGATCTCCTGGATCACTTTGCCATTCTTCCCAATCACCTTCCCTGTGAGCCGAGAAAGTGGGGAGGACATAACGTGGGTGCACAAGGGGGCGAGGTGGGAGACGGGCGCAAGGGGGAGACGGGCGCAGGGCACAAGACTCACCAACCAGGTTCCTGGGCACCTGGAAATAATCCTCCCTGAACTCCAGGTACACCCTGGCCTGCTTCACAGCCTCAGGGGTCTGCAAGGTAGAAAAGCTGTATGTGCCACTCTGAGGAGTCAGACATTGATGTCATATGGTAGAAATATGGTGGAAATGGTGGAGACACCACCTTTCATAAGTACTAGGAAAGTCGTTGTGCAAAATATTGAATAGAATGATTTTTTAAAACTAAATGCAACACGCTGATTCTATAAATTACCAATAAAGTACCTCTACGAACAAATCAAGCAGACGTGTCTCCCCTTTAAAGTAAAATGAATGAGGCAGAAGCCAGGCAGCCCAGTGGGGGGGCACGGTCCCGCTGGGGGTTCCTCACCTCCCCGTAGATCCTGAACGTGCAGCTTTCCTCCTCCAGCTCGATAGCCGTCACGCCAGACACCTTGCGCGCCTGCTGGATGTTGGCCCCGTGCGAGCCGATGGCCAGACCCATCAGGTCCTCCCGCACGCGCACCACCTCCTGGTAGGCGGAGGCCAGCTGCTTGCTCGTCTGATGGACAGGAGACAGGCCAGAGGTCCCCTTTAAAAGGCAGGCCTGATTTCCACACCACATGGCCCAATATTGAGGGCCATACTGACCACAGATGATACAGTCACTGGTCTTAGTATCAGCAATGTAACCATTTCACACTACGCATAAAAAACAACTTAACACCCACCTACAACAATAAGACCAAAATGATTATGGGTAATCAACACAAAACTGTTAGGCTTGTTGGGTGTTATTCATTAGCGACATGTCACCGTAATACGGCACCGTAAGGTAACATCAGTAATAAGACACAGAGGCAGAGTGTTGGGCACCTCCAGGTGTTTGGTGGCTTCCTCATTCCGGGACATGAGCATCAGTTTGGTGCGGATGCTTCGGAAGTGCATGTCACTCAGTAGCGTCGCCCGCTTTACTGTCGACTCGTTCGTGGACTGGGGCGGAGGAAAAGACAAGAAATATGGAATGAAAGCCAGCTGGGACAAGCAGAGCTAAAGGCTCATGGTGAACAGCTGAAATCCAAAACCTGCACAGTTCAGTCTAACCAAATGGTGTCGTTATTATAAGGAGTACCGGTTGAGCAGCATTATTGATATTCTGCCTTTTTACACCCAGCATGCCATAGCTGGTAAATGAACTGCAACAGAGAGAGACCTCATTGCCACATATTTGCGAGAAAAACTATAGCGATGCCATCCCATGGTAATAAAACACTAGCGTTGGTGCCATCAACGCCCACCGCCATGCTGTTTGTAAGAAGTCAATTAGTATCTTATGAATAAATGATTACATGATCACATACTTCTAATCGCCGATATTAATGGGCAGGATGAGTTGATTACTGACCAGGACGATGAGCTCCTGGGTAGTGGAGCTGTAGAAGATGCAATTTGCACCAATGGCTTTCCTGAAGTCTTTGTGTATTGCGTCATTCACACAACTGTGGAGGAAATAACACGGAGTCAGAGCCTTGGGGGGGGGGATGGGGGGGAGTGGGAGCCAGCCACCTTCCAGCAAGCCCCAGATTTAACAGCAGTGGGGAATCAATGCGCAAAGGCACTACCGTGGGGGTGGGATGTCGGTGAGCGAGTGTGAGAGGAACCCTGACTCCATGACAACCAGCGTGGACCTAAGCACGGCAGCATACGACACTGACAGAATAATAGAGTAGCAATTTGCACCTTTGCTTTTCCATGGGGCTGTACCCTCAAGGGTCTGTTAATGGTACCCAAGAAGTAGGTAAATGTACCTTTTAGTGTAATTTAAGGTAGATAAATGGACTGAGGAACATGCCCAAGGTACAGACAGCATTAATGTATCCCAAACTGTAGTCCAAAAGTACCTACAGCTAAGGGTACAACTGGTAGACTCCTGTGGCTACAGCCTCAGTGACAAGCAAAGGTACAAACTGGTACCTTTATTTCTGACAGTGTAGAGCAGAATACTCCTCTTCGGCACCTAAGAATTCCCCAGAAACATTCATGTCACTGGTCTCTAGGTTTGATCAACAAGCTTCACTTCCCTTGGTGGACCTTTAAGTTGGGGCCAAGAGATGGAGGGTGGCGAGACTCACATGTCCCGCAGATCCTCGGGGATGGCGATGGGGACCTTGTAGAAAGAGCCGCGGGACGAAGGGCTGTTGGGGTTGACGGGCCGGATCCGTTCCGACGTCACGATCTCGTTGTAGGTGGCGTCACAGGCAGCATACTCAATCACGTAGAACTGAGGGGGAAAACTCAACACCTCAACAAACCACCGTATGGCACCTGGCCATCATACCAGCAAGGAACACGCACTCTGCAAAGGAGGCAGCCAGGTCTACATGCTCAGGCTAAGAATGAAGACATATGGGCAAATTGCAAAGACCGGATTTGTACCCAAGATCACAAGATACCAAGTGGGACAATAGTTTTGCGTGGGGGGGACAAGGCTTTCTGAGAAGTCAGGGAGAATCGTTCAAACACATCAAACACAGGTCCACTAACTGCTACCCCACACATACAATTGATCGCTCACCTCTCCCTTCATCATTCGAACTCTGGCCAGCCACCAGCCGCACGGTTCCTGCTCATTGGCTCTGGAGTAAACCTGCAAGAAAAAAAAAGCAACCAGCTCTATATCGATCAAACTTGAGGTGCACAGCAACTCCTCAGATTCGTAGTGATGGCTGTAATGGGGTCATTTGTAAATGGGAGAGTAGCACAGCCATTATGGACCTGGTTTATTGACCCACTCTAACTGCAGGGGGCGCTGTTGTATTCTGGAGTGAGGTACTGCTTGATTATTAAAGCTGAGGATCATATCAAAGGTATGTTCCATGAGACCGTGAATAACAGGGTCTCCGGCAACATATCGTCATCTTCCAGAGCAGGAAGACCGGGAGGCAGCCCTACCTCTACCTCCTCTCCCTCGCCGATGTCCTTGTGGTAGTCTGATGGGGGTGGCAATCGTACATCGCTGAAGGGCAACTGTCGTTCAGGCTGCCAGCTGCATGGGGGGCAGATGGATAATGAGACTGCAATTCTGACATAGAAGACCCAAACGTATCTGCCGGTACACTACCAAATCATACTTTGATCCTGGCATGCTCAAATTCCACCAAATTTCCCTGTAGTTCAGATCTACACGTTCTCTTGCTGAATCAGGGCAAAAGCACATGAGAGAGAAGATTCCAAGGAATAATAAATAGCAGAGCTCTGCCATGGAGGATTCTTTAAAAATCTCCCATTTCCTCCTAAACCACAAGAGAACTGGCAGCCCATGCTGGGCCAGCATGCAATAGCAGGATGGAATTGGCGTTAGTGGCCCTGTTTGTCAGGTAATGTGACCAATTTAATCAATCTGAGAGGAACTTTGCTGCATAGGGACACCCAGGTTTTTCTGCGATGGCAAATATGGCAATTAGTAAAGGAAGCAAATATGACCAGCAGGTTATGGGTTCCAGTCCAGGAGAACTGAGGAGAATTCAAGTTAAACTGCTCCAGTGAAACATCCGACTGCGAGCAGATCCGCTTTTGTGGGTTGCCAAGCGACAGTAATGCTATCCATCTAGACCAGCATAATATTACCATCACTAAAATGTCACATTTTCAGAGGGTGAAATTAATATTGGTGTGGACTGTATTAGCTTGTATTAAAATGCAAAGATCCTTCAATTCAGAGTTAAAGTGAATCGATTTTAATATCAATAAATGCATTTAGTCATCAGAAACAGGAAAATGGCAGCTGGATTTAGAGGAGCGAGTCAAAGGGCAGCCAAACAAGTCCTAAAAAGTCCAAGGGGACAGTGTCACCAAACTAGAAACCCAGAGTTCCGTGTGGGGGTTCCGAGCTGATGACTGCAGGCACTGCAAGGAGCCCAAACGGAGATCATTTACAGGACTTTCATACCTGGGACAATCACACTGCTTTGCATAAAAAATTGAGAAATTCTATCCCAGTGAGGGGAAGGAGGAGAAAAAAAACCCAGACTGGACAAAACATTCTTCTGCGGCTTAACGACACAGCGTTTAATGGCAGAATGCAATGAACACCAACCCCAGCAGCACTGAAGAGGCTTGGAGCATGGCAAGGAACATTGCTGAACTCTGCCCCTGAGCATGCTGGGAACAGCCGAGACTAAGTAAAATCACAGTAATAGAATAGAATTATGAAATATTGATACTTTATTAATCGCCAGGGGGTGGTTCTCTTTTTACTTTACTCCATTTTGCCCTCTATGAGACATCACCTATGTGGGAGAGGGGGGGGTCACAAGTAAGGGGCAGTCACCTTGCAGCACCCAGGGAGTCGTTAAGGTCTTTGCTCAAGGGCCGCACTCTACTGGCCACAGTATTCGAACCCGTGACCTTCCAACCAAGCATTGACACAAAATGGATTGGTTTGTGTTCAGGTGACATTTAACCCAGGAAGACAGTGGGACTACTCTTCTCACCCACTGTATAAAGCTCTGCCCAGATTTTGGGGAGGGGGGGGGGGGTTGTAAGGATGGGGACGGGAAGTGAATAGAAGGGGGGTTGGCAGAGAAGCATGTCAGGAATGACAGTGGGCACTCTGCAGCCTTCCTGGGTCACATACCTCCAGAGAGTATTTTTAGGGACGACCTAGATGACAGCTTAAGGCGGGCTGATAAAAAAAAAAAAAAAAAAAAAAACAGGGGGACAAATGGAGACTATGGGCCAGTGGGGATGGGGGCTTCTGTGGGGGAGGTAATGGCAGCTGAGAGCTAATCCACAGGTGCTGAAACGTAAAAGTGTTGAGGTGTATGCATTATATGCTGTGTGTCTGTGGGGGGGGGGGGGAGGAGGTTCCAGAGGTGGGTACATAAGGCAGAAACAGGAGCGCTAGAATCAGTCAAATACGGAAAGAACCACAACTTACTTGTTTTCAAAGACTATGGTGAGAGAGTCTTCATGGACGTCTTTGATGAAACCCTAAAGGCAAAAATATGGAATTCATTATACAGAGCAAACAGTGACTCGTGCTAAGCCCATTTCTCAGTGACAGTGAAGTCAGACGAGATGTCCTCAGCCCAGAGCCCCCAAGTCCTCCACGCACAAGCACGTAAACGTGCGCAAGAAAAAGCGGATGGAGAAAACTGAGGAGCATCAGGGGTCCAAAGGGGGGGGGAGGGTCTGGACAAAATCTCCTCCTCACAAATCAAGCAGCTCCACTCAACCCTAGTAAGATTCAGCGGGGGGCACCCCAGCATCCTCTGGTGACATGCCCTTATTTGGAACGTGGAGCACTGGGTGGCCCGGGGAGGGACAGGGAGTCTCTGGTGTAGGAATGTTTCACTGGAAAGGGCAACTTATTCTCTGACTTACCCACCCAGTATAACCTCCGTGACCCGCCCAACCCAGCTCTTGTATCACATTTATCATATTCTATATCCTCCCCTATTCCCCTATGTCACACACACATTCAGACTCATTCTCCATATATGCCACACGCTTACGTCAGTGTCTGCACAGGTTCACATTCATGCACAGGGTCTGCATCCCCACCCACCCCCTGACGGTCCAATCAGGTCACGGTGCTGTCCCCAAGCATTTCAGGCCAGCGTGGATGTCCCAGCACCATTTAACGAACATGAATCTTCTGGAAGCTCCATGTTTCCCAAGCTGTATTTTACCTGACAAGCCAAGAATACCGTTCCAAAGTCTGTCCATTAAGTGGAATTACACAATAATCTCCAGTAAGGGTCACACATAAAACATTATAACACCATTCATTTGACGCACATCAAATTTATTTTGAATATATAATGACAACAGATTTTAACGGAAATGCAGCAGCAGAGTAGATACCTCATCTGCCCTCTTTTTCCAATACAGCATCTGTGTCATTTGAAAATATATTCAGTCACCAAAATCACAGCAAATCTGTGACCAACCGCCAAACGGCCCCGAGCACAAAACTGTCTCCCTAAACAGCTTATCCATGGCCTTTCCGGCACGCGGACGCTACCGACAGAGTCCCTCTGTGATCGAGACCAAATGCCAAGAAGCTCTTCCCAGATCGACACTCACAAACACGTCATGCTGCTCACAGCTTAACTACATGACTGACCTAAACCATAGTGCATAGCAAGGCCAGAACTAAATTTCAACAGTTTAAGAACAGAATTTTATCACCAAATGATAAACCCCCTTCTTCAGCCCCACCTTGAAGTACTCTGGTATTAAACTGGCATTATACTGAATGCTTCCTAGAACTGGAGGCCAGTGATGGGATACAGCAGGTGTAGAACAGGTACTTATTAACAAAGCTTTCTGCACAACTCGTAACAGAGCACATAACCTTCAGCCATCAAGCTCGGGCAACCAGAGCGCTCTGCTCAGCGGGGCTTATGCTGTCAGCGACAGGCCAGGCTACCAGAGCTCAGCTTTGGGAGACAACAGGCATGGGAGTTACCCACACTGAAGGCCTTCGATGCGGACAGATGGACACAAAGCAGGTAACTCTCACAACCCCCTCAACCAAAGATAACGGGTGGACCAAACACGAGCGGGAGGGGCAGAAGCCAGCACATGGGACCTTCAGGACTTGGACGGCTCGCATGCAGAGAAGCTGCACTGCATCTAGAAGAATGGGCGCTACGCTCAGCTAGCCGAGGTAAGTCACAGCAGCAGTGCAACAGCTCACTGAGGACACAGAAAGAGCCTATTTAAGCACAGACTGAACAACACACCCGCTAAGTTGACACACTCTGGTATAAGAGCACGGGAAATGGTCCCTAGCACACATGCAGCTGCACCAGGCAATTAATCCCTTTCCATGACCTGGCAAGCCCAGGGGAAAAGGCATCACGAGCCAGTAGAGGGAGAGAGAGCAGCCAGGAGGGAAATCCGGGCCCACGGCACGTCATACAGCAGTGGCACGGGCAAAAATTCAGAGGCAGCCCTCACGGATCCCCACGGAAGAGTTTTCTAGCTATCGAGTTAACGCTTTTAAACAAAAAAAAATAAAATGCACTTTGGCACGGCAAGAAGAATAGCAGACTGTCAGGGTGGGCTCTGCATACAGTCACTGGGAGGAAAGAGAACACAATAAGTAAAGTACAAATGGATAAACGATGAGTAACAAGGGAATAAAGGAGAGACAGTACGGGGAGTATGGTGGGTACTACTGTGAAGGGGGGGGGGGGGCAGGTGTCAAATGTCGATGTGGCGGAGTCACCTGCTCCTCTCACACCTGTCTCCACTCCTCAGCTCTGAGCAGAGCCCCCAAACTGGAACAACTGACTCGCCAGGAGAAATCACTTTCTAAGCCTAAGCATCTAGCTGGTGGACACCGGAGGGACTAAAACTCAGATTATATGAACCTGGCCCATCCAGAAATACGCATCGCCCCTGTGTCTGTTTTTTTTTTTTTGGGGGGGGGGGGGTTCCCTTTGTCAAAACCACTTTGGCAGCTTCTTACTTGGGGCAAGCATGGACAGGAGGTGTAGACAGCTGTCTGCGGGACTGAATGATCACAGAATACAGGGGCTACACTGGTTTTGCCTTAGCCAGGCTATAACACTGCAAGAGCAAAGCATGTGGACCACACACTAACCTGGGAGGAAATGGGGGGGGGATTGGGCCGTTAGCAAGGCCCGGGCTGGTACAGAGACATCCGTCAGAGGCAATACGTAGGTCAAGCGCTTCAAAACTTTAGCTTGTTGCACGGTTAAAAGGAAGAGCAAAATATTACACCCTGCTCTAGAGTTTCCGATGCAATTATCAAAAATGGAGGATAAAATGCATTAATTTGGGTTAGACCGAGAGGGACATTAACATATCTTCGCGGCCCCCTGATGCTAAGGAGCCCCGCTTTCGTTTTTCTTAGAAAGGAAAGTGAAACGGCGTCTGGACGATTACAAGCAGCTAGTGAATATCTCAGGTAGATCAAACCCACCCCACTCACATAGTGGGACAGCGGGAGAGCGAGCCGAGCTAGACGGCGTTCGGAGGCACAAGGGCGGCGAACGCAGCAGGCCCCTGGGCGGCCGGCCGGCCTGAACCCACCGGGTTTGCTAGCAAGGGCTATCCGGCTAACGGCTGCTAGGGGCCTTTTCTGTTTGGCATGTAGCCGTTAGCAGGCTGGCTAACCCAGCTCGCAAGACGTAAGCCAAGACAACACTGTGCGATCGCCGCATGTCGCGACCCCCCGCGCCAATTGACAACTTCTGAGTTTCATTATCTCATTAATAATAAACACTTTCTACTTACCTTGTAAAAGGCCCCGTTGGAGCCGCGCACTTCCACCGACAAGCCGTCCATCGCCGCCGTCCCTTCTGCACGGCCGACCCTCCCCGCGGCCGCTCCGACTCCGTGCGGCTCCGGTGCCACCCCCAGCTTCGCTGGCCCGTCGCCGCCCCCCGGCCGCTTGTGGATTTCCAGCGTTTCGGAGGGACAGTGGGGTGAGGGAAAGAGGGACTAAGGCGGTGTGGGTCGGCGAGCGGTGGTAGGGACGCCGACAGCCTTTCCAGCGGAGCGCAGCTCCGGCCCACTTCGCCTTCCCGGGTGTGGAATGGGATGGCTGTGATCTAACTAGAACTAACTAGTGCCCACAGACTAGTTAATACCGACACCTTAACTCTCCCCCCAGCCGGTGACCAGCTATCAGATTGTGCAGTGAGGCGAGTGATTACAGAAATCAGCTGCGGGGGGAACCTAACGATTCTGCAACACTATAACTGTAAATACAGTCTACAATTGTTTTAAATTGAACGTGCAGTCCAACCTCCTCCCAGCAGTGACTGTGGTTACAGTTTCACCCGGCAACTCGTGGTACTCCTACTACCCGTCCCCTCAAAAGCACGCCGATGGAGTGAGGCTGCGAGCGGGTGAATGACCCCGAAAACCCCACCCTCTCATTCCTACATCCCGCCCACAAAAACCGGTGGCGCTCCTTTCCCATTGGTCGAAGCGGCACGAGTCGCAGTCATTACTCTGTCCTTCATTGGCCAAACGGCCATGACTGTTCTGTGAATAACCCAACGACCTCACGATTGATACTGTCATTGGTTTATGCTCCTATCAATTACGGTCCCACTGTTGAATTGGATATTCGCGAACCTTTTCTGTCCAATTCGAATCGAATCTCATGGCAGGCATGAGCGCATGTGGTTGTAGTATTCAGGTAGTTAGTTATATGTACGTATTAAACATTTAATGAAACTTTTTCTTTATCATATCTTCCAAATGATTTATACTTAATTTAAAGATATTTATGCTCGACATTTATTTCTTCGATATTAGCAGCGCCTATGCTGAGTCTTGTTCCAATGTAATTAAGTCTTTTACAGTGGTGTGCGCAGAAGTTAAATCGGGAAGTGTCATAATTATACCGTCCTAGTGACATACTATGCCAAGACGGCTATATAAAGTTGGAGAAAGATAAACCTTAGTATCTGGCCTTTTTATTAAATGAAGCATGTGCTGTAGTTCTTATTCTGTTTTTATATATTTATATATTTTTTCCATCGATAGGTCAAGCTTTATTATTTGCACATGAACGGGGTGTTTGCGCATGGTTTTCATATGTGAGTATTTTTCATGTACTGAGAAATCTGTACATGCAATTATAATTCTTCATATCCCCGTGGTTTAGGTAAATGCAGTAGTTGCGACAACGAAAATTCCACAATTTGAAATATTCCTCCTGACCTAATGTGCCTTAATATACCTTTTCGGATAGGAGATACAGTATAAGATTTATTGGTGCTCGTTTAGCTTGTCTCTACCGGCTTTCGCGATCTACCACTGGGTGGCGCATAAATACGTTCCAATGACATGCAGACTGTTATATTACATTTTCGATCACTTTATTCTTTAACTTTAAGATATATAAGGGAGACACTGAGAATGATGCCAAACGAGAGGGTGAAATCACATTGTCATTATGTGGGCTGACCCGGTGTCCTGACCGAAATGACGCCGAAGGAACCATAACAATGATCAGAGGCGGACATTTCAGGTCCAGAAAGTAAAAATCCAAACCAGGATTTTGTTTCAACCAACCAGTTGAGTACTCGCTGAACGTGACTCTTTATGCTCAACTGGTTGGTTGAAACAAAATCCTGGTTTGGATTTTTACTTTCTGGACCTGAAATGTCCGCCTCTGACAATGATTTGTATTATAATTACTTCCACCGATCCCTCGGTGTGTATTCAGAATTTTCGTACATAGATATTCAGTATGGCTTGTAGGAGAGGGAAATTATCAGTTTGAAAACTGTTCAGATTGGGGATTTTTCTACTGTAGATTTTTGTTATTTACTTTTACACGTTTCAAACGAACTGAAAATAATTTCATTTTCTCAGCGCTGCCACACCGCCACGAAATGTATTTCTGGATTCATGCCTGATGCGCACGGGGCGCTTTTCATCGGGTAAGTTCTTCCGTCCACTGGACTGTAATGAATATTAGATTCTATTTGCCTCAAAAATTCATGGAAAGGGAGGTGGAGGGAGGAGGGTTACCAATGACACAGCAGCATCTCATTTATTCATTTACTTCTAATTTGTGAGTATCTACCTTTCTGGCGGGCTAATTAGATGTTTGGTGTTCTAGTACCAGCCGTGACTGAACTAAATGACTCATGGATGGATGTTATTCTTTTCTTCAAGTTTTTATCAAATGTTAAAACACATTTTTCTGATGTGATGTCAAAACTCACAGACAAATAAAAAATACAGTATTTGCAGTATTTCCGTCATCTTGACAGTAGTGCAGTCAAAGATGCTGTTTGCAGCAGCTGTCGAAGGGAAAGCATACAAATTATTTCATATTATTCAATGGAAGCAAATGCGTTCAGAATACACCACTGTATTGTCCAAAAATTTGAGTTACACCAATGCCATTTTTTTCAGACCGGGTGTGAGTTCATGCATCTGTGTAAACTGGCAGTATTTATACCGTTGAAAATAACAATGACCTAATCTAACCTAACATAACCAGACCAACACCTGCCATACCCAGACTAATATGGCTGACAAATCTCTCGCTAGATGCCAAAATCTGATCAAAAAAAGGCATGACAGAGGGTTTCATGAACACTCATATGCTGTATCTGGCTGGCAGGGCAGTGTGGGATATACCCCGAGTAGAGATTTTCCCATTCATGTCTGTCATAAGCTTTCCACTGCTATGCTGAGAAAAAAAATCTTCAACAGGGTTGAGCAATGGGGAATAAGGTGCAAGGAAGACATTATCATTCAACCATATGGCGATGAAAGCTGACATTGTCCCTAATGATGACATCAGTATGTTCTGATTGGTCCTGCTGTCAGTTTTTTTTTTGTTCTGTTAGAGTATCTTGAAGACCCTTGAGAAAATTGTACATGTGCTGTGTTGTCCAGCCCTGGGGACTGGGGTGGTACGACAGAGGTGGATGATGATTCTATGGAGGGTAATATGGAGAATAGCAATAATGTTAGGACCTGCTCTCATTCTATTTGTAAGGTTAAATCTTTGCTCATCAAGACAGACAGACAGACAGACAGACAGATAGACAGATAGACAGATAGATAGATAGATAGATAGATAAATAGATTTATTTTTATACAGTTGGCCCATCACTGTGTATATAATGTTGCAGGTGACTGCAGACAAAAAATTGCACCAGAGAGCAAGATATTGAGCCTCACTCTTTTTGTTCTGTTGTTTTGTACTGTTGTCTTTTATTATTTAGTTTTGTGTTTCTCTCATCCTTATACAGTTATGAACAATAGCATTCACCTGGTCTTGGATAATGATATGAGGCTTGCCACCATTGATTGGCAGCCTTCCAGTTCTGTAAAATTTTCAAAATACACAGAAGTAGGATATAAAAGAGTTAACATAACAGAAAGATACAATACAGTAATCTTCTTTCTTCCCTGAATGTCCTGATTATTGATGCAGCTGAGAAGATTTGGCTATACCTGTTGGCCAGCTTCTCTCATTGGCAGGCCATGGACAAGAACATAGTCAACAAATGTTGATATAATCTCATCTGTATTTCATGTCTTGATCCTCTTCTTCTTCTTCCTCTTCTTTGTCTCTTTTTGGTGAAATTCATCTATCGATCTTCCAGCCATTTAACCTGATTAGAAACTTGGAGACCTGGAGCCTATTCCATGAAGCACAGGGTACAAGGTATGAGCTCACCCTGTATGGGTTTCCAGGCCATTGCAGGTCACCATGAAGAAAGCCTTCATAACACGAATGACATGGATGAGCTGTCAATGTTCAATGAAATGTGTTTAAAGCACTTAAGTTCCATTCAGATAGTTGGTTATCCCCTGCCATAGGGTGACCCATTAAAGTCTAATGGCCAAAGGTAAGAATGACCTTACATGGCACTTGGAGCAGCACAACTGTCTCAACCTGCTGCTGAAAGTGCTCCTTTGTTTGGCCAAGACAGCCTGCAGAGGGTGGGAGTCATTGTCCATAGGTGGATAGTTCAGGTCCAGAAAGCTAAAATCCAGACCAAGATTTTGTTTCAGCCAAGCAGCTGAGTACTCTGTGGCTGTGACTCTTTATGCTCAACTGGTTGTTTGAATTTTTTTTTTAGTCTGGTCCAATATAGCCAGCAGGTTCCTCAGTATCCTTGGTTCCTCCAATCTCCAGTGAGTCTGGATCTGGTGAACCTAATTACATTAAGGCATGAAGTGCTCCAGGTTCGCCAGATAAATGGTTTCACCGTGTACTAGGACCGCAAATTTTGCTCTCAACCATGTATGTGTATATATGTATAGCAGGGTTGGGGCCATTCTGGAATGCATTGATCAATTCCAGTCCAAATCAGGAAATGGAACTGGAGCTAGGATTGGAAAAAAAACTATGGGGAACAGAATTGGAGTTGAATTTGAATTTCAGGGAGATTTAAGTTCCAACTCCAGTTCCATTTCTTGATTTGGACTGGAATTGATCAATGCATTCCGGAATGGCTCCAGCCCTGATGTATAGTATATTTATGTACCTGTGCAATATATATATATACACCAAATGTTCCCACAATGTGATAAAAACCTGATATTTTTGGTACCATTTTCCATCTCCACAAGGGATAACTCAATTTTATAAAAATCTGTGACTGCAATCAAAAAACTAAAAATGTTTTGTATTTTGTTTGGTTACTAATAGTTAAGGTTAGGGCTGGGTAGGAGTTAAGGTTGTCAGTGTTTGGATTAGGGATTTCCCATAGAAATGAATGGAGCGTCCCCACAAAGATATGAATACAAAGTTGTGTGTGTGTGCATGTGCATGTGTGTATGCCTGAGTATGTGTGAAAAGGAAAGCTTTTTCCCATTCGAAACGTGAGTTCAGAACAGGCACAGATCCAGTGAAGCTAATTACATCAAGACAGTGACTCTCAAAGTGTGTGGTGGTCGAGTTGCAGTTAGATTTTTCTCAACCGACAAGTTCGAGGTCCAAATTGGTAGAGCTGAAGGCATCTTGACCCATACAAGTTTTAGCAGGGATGGTCAGGTTCCAAGATTTTGGTCGAGGTACAACTCAAAAAAGAATTCGACAGACTCGTTCGATGTCTAAGTTGGTCGAGTTAAGAGGCATTTGAGTTCCAAGGGGTACATGAGGGGCGAAGAAAGGTCAATATGTATATGTATATTTCTTGCTCTTTAGTTGTGCCCAATTTTGAAAACTAGAATCGGACATATATTATCATTGTAGCTTTGCCATTATTTGCATTTTCAGTAGTGTACAGCAAGTACAGTGGTACCTCAGTTCTCGAAATTATTAGAACTCAAATTTCTTAAAAGTCGAACCAACCAGTTCGAAAAAAAATGACCTAGAGCTCAATCTGAATCTTAGAAGTCAAACCGTGAACGCCGACCTAAGATAACTTGTACGCGCTGGGAAATGAGTAACGCTTCAGTCTCAGCCTCGCATTCGCTGTGATAGCATTGTGCATGTTTACACTAGCTAAATACATATATTTAGACAGTAAAAATACATTTAGACAATGACAGACAGTAACAGTAATTATTATTATATAATAAAATACATTTAAAAATAAAGATTTCTTATACATTATTTTAATATTAGTAATAATTAATACATTTAATTATAATAATATTGTCGTGCCGAGCGGGGACGGAACGGAGACAAAGGCACAGACGTAAGGGTATCGGGGAATACGGGGTTTAATTACAGGTAAGGCAGGCAAAACGCAGACGGACAATACAATGACCGGACTGGGGAAAGAAACTGAAAGGCGGACGAAATACAGAGGGTTAATGAAAACAACCAGAAACAGCTGATCACACTGGGATTCTACATGAGGTTAACGAGGGGGCGTGGCACACGGAAGGAGCAGACTATCGGGGCAGGACACATTGTTTGGATACATTTATTTTCTTACTTTACAAATTACTGTTTGATAAATGTGCTTAGATGTATTTAGTACAGTATATGCTCTTCTTGTTTTATCCGGTTCATTTTGTGTTTAAATGCTAAAGAAAACATATTTAGGTTTAAGTTTTTGGGGGCGGGAACCAATTAATTGGTTTTCCATTATTTCTTATGGGGAAAATTTGATCAGAACTCGAACTTTTTAGGATTCGATCCGGAGTTCTGAACGGATTAAGTTTGAGTTAAGAGGTACCACTGTATATTGCAACAATGTTTTAGGTGTTTTTTAGGGGATGGTCTTAAACACCATGAATGAGACCGGCCAGCAGATGTCAGCATTGCATTTTACTACAGGTTTCCTCTCACGGCTGGCATTTTCTTTAACAATGAAAGACAAGACAGCGAGAGCGGGTATTCATGAGGACTGTATGTTGAAAAGTATCACCAGAAATCGCCTCAACAAACTTAAGCAAAAATTAACACTATAAAATATGAACTTGAAAAATACTTTGTGCGTTTTTCAAAAGTTGCATAAATGTGTTGTGTAATATATACAACTTAAAATGTACAGGTATGTGTATTTTAAGGTTAAAATGAATGTGCTGTGATGGGTTGGCACCCCATCCAGGGTTGTTCCCTGCCTTATGCCCGTAGCCTCTGGGATAAGTTCCGGACCACCATGACCATGAATAGGACAAGCGGGTGCATGGATGAATGGATTAAAATATACTAACTGAGATGTGTGAACAGCATCGTATTTAGGTGAATCAGTGACTCGGGGTAGAACTTCAGCTGTTGAAATGTTAAAATACCATCAAAATACTGTATGTATGATTTGTGGACGGTATTAAAAACTAGATACTTGGTGGCTGGCTGGGGGTTGGGGGTAAAATTTGCCGACCAGTTGGGCCATGGCTGTGGTGGAATGTCTTCTTGTTGGCAAAATTTTAGCAGAACAGCAAATTTTCAGGACATTTCACATTGTTCATGGGTGTCAGAGAGCTGTTGTCGCTTTGTGGGAGACTTGGGAGACACAGTAAACACACTTTGCATTCTGCTAACAAGACATTAGAAAAGCTTACATACAACATTCATAAATGAAGGAATTATTCATTTATTAATTTTCCATTACATCACACCCTTCTCTACCCAGCTGATGTCATGCTAGGCCTATAGCTACCTAAAGAACAGGCATCTGGGATATCTACATATTTCATAAATATAAGCACACAAGGTGCCTGAGACCACATACCTGTATATTGCCACAGTGCATCCTGTTTAGGTCTGGATTCATTTTCTGCAAAAACAGTTAATATTTTGACAATATAGCTGCACATAACAAATGCATTACAGAAGCCTGAAAAAGTTAGACTCACCAAATATACGTCTTCCATGGCTGCTTCTCACTGCTCCTGACTGACTCTAGCAACACTTTGTCTTTCTGCACAGTAAAACAGACGCCCTTGCATGACAGTTCACAGAGATCTGAAGTTCACTTTTGATGAGATCTCTTTCTTGAGTCTGACTGTTAATGGTCATCAGAGAGAAAAAAATCTCTCCACAAATGCATTTGAGCCTGACACACAGTACAAATAACACAATCTGAAACATGCTGGTCAAACATGCTTTTTCAAAGTTCTGTGGGCGCATGCTGAGCAAGGTCATGGCGAATTAGAAACTCCCGACAGCTTAATGTGCAAATGGCTGTCATTGGATCGCATTTGACAGATTTTACCCGTGACATTTTGTCTTCCCATTGCTTGTTATAGCTGTACAATCTTTGCTTTGTAGCTGGCCCTTCGTCTATCGTAACTTACAGCACCTGCACATCTGTTCATCAGCGTATGTGCCTATGTTGCGTAAACATGTATGTGATACAACTGACAGTGAATCTGACCCAAGATTAGCACGTAGATATATTTTTATTGTTGTCATGGTTTTTCCTGCAACCGAACCAGCTAGACAGATAGATGTAATGCCCTCTAGTGGTGTATTCTATGAGTGCACCCAGATCCCAGAGTTTGAAATATAAGACAATGACTGTCCTGTACGCAATAAACAAACAAATTTTAATCCAAATACGGGAGGTCCCGGCTAATACAGGACATTTGGTAACCCTCTGTGTGAGGCTTGTTTTTGGGTTCAATTGCTGCACTCTGTCGAGGCTGTGTGGTCTTCCTGTGTCTGTGGTTTTCCTCCCACAGTTTAAAAACATATTTTTTTTTTGGTGAATTATAAATTGCCCGTTTTATTAGCTGTCGTGTTGGTAAGGAACATTCCCCAGGACCAAAGTGCCAAGGCATCAGTACACTTCCTGTCTTGCTGCTTCATTTTCTTCCAGCTTTGATACCAGTGCCAGGTCCAGAATTGAAGGTACACCTGAAATTAGTGAGGAAGCACTCCATAGCCATGTTCTGATTGACTTCCACCTGAGGATGCACATTATTTAATTTAAACATCCATCCATCTAAAAAAAAAAAAAAAAAAAAACATCCATCCAACTGAAACCGTTCATCCCATTCAGGGAAGCAGTGGGTCCTGAGCCTATCAGCACAAGGCAGGGAACAACCTAGGATGGGGTGCCAACCCATCGGAGGGCACACGCACACACCATTCACAGACACGCATACCTGTGGGCAATTAGGTAACTCCAATTAGCTTTAGCATGTTTTTGGACTGTGGGGGGCAAAATCAGACAACCCAGAGTACCTCCATGATGACACGGGGTGAACATGTAAACTCCACATGCATGGACCCTTAGTGGAGATTTGAACCCAAGTCCTAGAGGTGCAAGGCAACATTGCTAACCACCATGCCACCCCATTATTTAGGCAAAATAAATAATTATATTTAATAAATTATAATTATTGCGATGGGCTGGCCCCCCATCCAGGGTTGTTCCCTGCCTCGTGCCCATTGCTTCCGGGATAGGCTCCGGACCCCCCGCGACCCAGTAGGATAAGCGGGTTGGACAATGGATGGATGGATGGAAATTATAATTATATTATCTGAAAATAACATAATTTCAGAGTGCTTGTAAACCTTGCCACGACCCTTGTAAACCTGGGTCGTGGCAAGTTAAACCATGGATTCTCAGCCTTCCCAACCACAAGGCCAGGCTTCTGACCATTACAGGTAATTTTCAATTTTCATTTGGTCCTGTTCTGGTCCTACCTAATGTTGATCTGCAACTGCTGTAGGCCAGTGGCTAGGAAACCCTGCTCTAAACATTTCTGATATACACTCACCTAAAGGATTATTAGGAACACCGGTTCAATTTCTCATTAATGCAATTATCTAATCAACCAATCACATGGCAGTTGCTTCAATGCATTTAGGGGTGTGGTCCTGGTCAACACAATCTCCTGAACTCCAAACTGAATGTCAGAATGGGAAAGAAAGGTGATTTAAGCAATTTTGAGCGTGGCATGGTTGTTGGTGCCAGACGGGCCGGTCTGAGTATTTCACAATCTGCTCAGTTACTGGGATTTTCACGCACAACCATTTCTAGGGTTTACAAAGAATGGTGTGCAAAGGGAAAAACATCCAGTATGCGGCTGTCCTGTGGGCGAAAATGCCTTGTTGATGCTAGAGGTCAGAGGAGAATGGGCCGACTGATTCAAGCTGATAGAAGAGCAACTTTGACTGAAATAACCACTCGTTACAACCTAGGTATGCAGCAAAGCATTTGTGAAGCCACAACACGCACAACCTTGAGGCGGATGGGCTACAACAGCAGAAGACCCCACCGGGTACCACTCATCTCCACTACAAATAGGAAAAAGAGGCTACAATTTGCACGAGCTCACCAAAATTGCACAGTTGAAAACTGGAAAAATGTTGCCTGGTCCGATGAGTCTCGATTTCTGTTGAGACATTCAAATGGTAGAGTCAGAATTTGGCGTAAACAGAATGAGAACATGGATCCATCATGCCTTGTTACCACTGTGCAAGGCTGGTGGTGGTGGTGTAATGGTGTGGGGGATGTTTTCTTGGCACACTTTAGGTCCCTTAGTGCCAATTGGACATCGTTTAAATGCCACGGCCTACCTGAGCATTGTTTCTGACCATGTCCATCCCTTTATGACCACCATGTACCCATCCTCTGATGGCTACTTCCAGTAGGATAATGCACCATGTCACAAAGCTCGAATCATTTCAAATTGGTTTCTTGAACATGACAATGAGTTCACTGTACTAAAATGGCCCCCACAGTCACCAGATCTCAACCCAATAGAGCATCTTTGGGATGTGGTGGAACGGGAGCTTCGTGCCCTGGATGTGCATCCCACAAATCTCCATCAACTGCAAGATGCTATCCTATCAATATGGGCCAACATTTCTAAAGAATGCTTTCAGCACCTTGTTGAATCAATGCCACGTAGAATTAAGGCAGTTCTGAAGGCGAAAGGGGGTCAAACATCATATTAGTATGGTGTTCCTAATAATTCTTTAGGTGAGTGTATATACGCCCCAACCGATATCAAGACTTTTTCCCTTTCGATCTGTCATCACAGTTCTGAAACCTAGTTATTGACTGCTAGGTCTGTTATTACTGATGAAAATTGCCCTTATAGTGTGAGTAACAGAGAGAGACACTGTGTTCGCATGTGTTTGAATACTTTGGCAGCAGTACATCTGCAGGCCCTTCCAGGGACCTGAAGTTTTGTCTTCTTTAAAAATTAGTTGGAAATTTGCAGCGTGATGGAAACATTTTAATATTAATAAGACATTTTGAAAAGATTCCCACTGAAAACATAATTCAAAAGTTGATGCACACACAGCAGCCAAAGTTAGTGTCTTGGAGTTAGAGTGCAGACTCAACAATCACATCCATCCAACCATTTTCTGAAACCGCTCAATCCCAACTGGGGACGCGGGGGGGACCGGAGCATATCCTGAGAATAATGGGCACAGGCGAGAACCAACCCTGGGCAGTTGCCAACACACTGCAGAGCTCACACACTCACACGCACACTCACATGCACATTCACACAACTACAGGTCCAATTTAGCCTCACCAAACAGTCACATCCAGCAGAGTAAATGTACCTTCAGTCCTTTGAAGATGTTACTTACTGAAATTACTGTCGATTCCTTTGTATATTTTCTGAAAATTTCCCAGTCCCCCCATAAATTGCTGCCATTTTTTTTGTTGTTCAATGGAATTAACTGTATCTGAAAAATGTGTATTTGTCACACCCCGATCGTGCCGATCCTCCTGTGCCACGCCCCCCTCGTTAACCTCATGTGGATTCACAGTGTTTAACAGCTGTTTCTGATTGTTGTCATTAGTCCAGTGTATTTAGTCTGCGTTTCTGTTCGTTTCCCCAGTCTGGTTATTAACGTTACGTGTCTTGGATTGTGTTACCCCAGCAATAAAGCCCTTTTGATCTGATTCACGGCTTCCGTTGCCTGCTTCCCGTGTTCAACGTGAAAGTATTTAACATATTTTGTTTATTTTGTTTCTAAGGAACCAGTTTATCGGCTCTTGGGTGATGAGCCATATTATGATTTGCTTTCTGTGATTGGCTGTTTGATAGAAACATGCTCACACTTACCAGCATTGACAGTGTCTGCTGTGCTCATGCATTTTTGCCCATTAGCTCTATACTCACCTAAAGGATTATTAGGAACACCTGTTCAATTTCTCATTAATGCAATTATCTTATCAACCAATCACATGGCAGTTGCTTCAATGCATTTAGGGGTGTGGTCCTGGTCAAGACAATCTCCTGAACTCCAAACTGAATGTCAGA